GTAGAATTTACAATTAAATTAATCGAGTTAATTTGCCCCTCATTCAGTCCAATGAAAATGCACAAGACTGATTTCAAGAGCAAGTAACATACTGGATATATGCACACATATCAGAGAGAGAGAGATTGCCCTCTAGTGACTTAAACACAGAAAATGTAGAAATACTAGAACATCACTAGTTTTGTGGGGGTTTGCATCCTAACAGACTATCAAAATCCAGACTGGAGTTTTAATATATGGAATAACAATGCCCAGTCTATGGTGAGGGGAATGAGAGTGCCTCATAGCTGCAAGGAAGCCCAGAGCAACTTCCATGAGCAATCACAAAATGCACATCTAGCCCCAGATAAGGCTTCAGTATACTGAGGGATTATGAGAATAACACACACATGGGTGTCACACATGCTGTGTAATTATCAGCTAAGCTGTGAGGGCAACTTGAAAAACACCCTCAGGTTGCACTCAGCCTGAGATCTCTAATCTTGCATAAAGGCAGAAAGGGCCAAGAGCTCAGCCCAGAGCCTGCCAAATTCTCTCATTGCTGCTGTTTCACATTGTCTGAACAGGATTTCTGCAAAAACTTGCTGCACCCCATTTATAGTCACAGAGATATATTTTAATTCATTTCTCCTTTGCATATACTGTGGAAATATCTGTTGTTCTCGAGTGCTCTGTCTCAGCTACACACAAGACTTTTGCTACAACATCCCTTTTGGATGTTGTTCACTCCTTGGTGTAAAAATATGACAAAAATGCAGTTAAGGAAATAAATCAAGATAAGAATTTAGAGGTAAGCAACAAGTCACCGCCAAGCATAAAGAAACAATGAAAGTCAGGAATTCCTCTTCTTTCCTTGATTAAGTCTTCAAGAACCTTAGCAAGTATTCATAAAAGCAATAACAACAACAACAACAACAACAAAGAGAGAGAGAGAGGAAGTGGCCAGCACATTTCTACCAGATGCTCTGAACAAAGATATAGCTTTTTATTTCCCTTTTGGAGGAAAATTTTGGAGTAAAGTTTAACCAGACTAACGGTTTAAGTTAGTCTGGTTAGTTTAACCAGACTAACAGAAAATGTAACAGTAAAAATCCTATTTGCAGAGAGCTCACCATGCAATGAAAAGCAAGAGGTATATTTCGGAGGCAAAGCCATTTTTCAGAGACCTCCTATACAGCTCTCTCCCATCACCTACGTCCCCTGCTCCATGACCCAACTTACACTAGATTATATAGAGCAGGGCACAGGATACTCCTCACCAAGCTCTGAGATTTCTTGTATTCAAACACCTCAACAAATAAATAAGTTCTTCCTTCAAAGCCTTTTCTCTCGCATTTATTAATGATGTGCTTGTCTGGAGAAAAAGTTGGGTGCAGTTCTATACCTCTGTGCTCAGTACCAAGCAGCTACTGGGGCAGGTCCTAGTCATATACAGTCACTCTATTTCCTAGAGCAGCGTATGCTGGTTGATGCACTCCCCTGTGTGTCAATGAGGAAAAAAGAACAAATCAACCGACCTTGCTCAAAGCAAGGGCCCGTCATTGCAGGCTCACTCACTAGTGCTGCTGATTTGTTTCCGGTTGCTTAAGAGATGGCCAAGCTGGCAGAGAGCAGCACCTCCCATCAACTGAGGGCACTGATCCTGAGCTACTTTCAAGCTGGGATACCACAGCTGAAACACTTCTGCCCCCAACTATGGAGGGAGGGAAACTTGTCAAAAAACACAGTTAAATCCTGAATGGATCACAAAATTGAGATGAAACAGGAGGCGTTACTTCATAGTCACAAGAGTCTGACTTTGCCTGGCAGATTGGCATCTTCTTGATCTTTACATGGAAGGTACCAAAACAGCATGCTCACAGGAATCAAAAAAGCCATGCCTGATGTCATTAAGAAATTTCCGCACATGCTCCGCTTGTAGAGCAGTTTGGAGCATAAAGTCGTAGCAAAAAAAGCTACCTTTTCAAAATAGCTGCACAAAACACAATTGCTGATGTAGAAAGGCAATTTAGAGGGTATTCCCAGCTCCTGAGTAGACAAAGTGTGGGTTTCATGGTGGTCAGTAGGGTCAGGTCTGCACACAGTGGGGTCTGACACAGCAGACCAGTGAAAAAAGGGACAAGTAACTGATATTTGTCTAATCATAATCTCTGTCTCCTCTTAATGAATTAAAAAGAAAACCTTCTGCTATACCTAAGCAAAGGATGAGGAAGCAAAAAGGAAAATCTCTTTGAGCAAAGGGTTGACTCCTGAGAAATGGGAGAACATCCAAACCATCTGCTATAAATGGGGCAGCATACCAGCATCAGTGGAACTAATTCATGGAGAGCTTCATTTTGGCACTCATTAGGGATTTATAGGTGCTGATACCCAGGCTGATAATGCATGTGGGTACATTCTTCAGGTATATCTGGAAAATCACCCTTTTGCCAGATACCATATAAGTCCAGCACTTGTCACCTGCAGTTTCTTTCTAAAAATATGCTTAATTAACACCAATGCACGTACTTGTTCAGGAATCTAATAACCTAGATTACACTGTCTGAGAGCTCAAGATTTGCTGTATTTTTCTACTCACAGCAACAAATCATAGGAGACACAAAAATAACTTGGGCTTGGGAAAAAAACAGACAAAGCTCTTGAGTGGTGAAGGAGGGAGGTAGCAACCATCCTCCCCTTTTCCAGCAATCTGCTTTTCCTGTCTTCCAGTTCCTTGTTCAAGGTGAGAGAGGTCTCAGTTTGGAGAGGTCCGTTTCCAACTCCCTGCAGATGAGCTGTTCTAGCTCTTATTGTTCCAGCACTGAAATTGCACAGCCATGGCCACCCAGTACAGGGATTTGCTGTCCATTGTAACTGTCCACCCACTTACGTGCCCTCCTTGTTTTATACAGAGTTGCCACCAGCCTTCTGCGCTAACACCCAGTCCTCCCAGGTTTGCCCTAGTACAGGCTCTCCTTCTACCACAGTGTAATCACTACAGTACATTGGGGAATCCTCTCCTCTTGGGAGTGGTGAGAAGCAAGGTGCTCACCTTAGATGTTTAAAGTCAGTTGCTTTTTGTAGAGTTATTGTGGGCAGGAATCGGAATACCATGCAAGATCCTCAGCACTGCATATTATGCCAAATTGCAAACTCTGTTTCGAGTCTGAGGTTTTGTGTCTTCTCTGTTTTTCCTCTCAGGGTCACTTGGACTGAGGGTGCAATTCCCAACTTTTAAGAAATTTCCTTCACCCTTAATCTTTATAGATTTGTCTCCTAGACTCTGGAGACTTATTGTAGAAAAGGTGCAGTTGAGGTACCTCAACCCTTGTAGTCTGGTAAGAGCTTGTCAGAGGGAGTTCAGCCAGATCCTCCTGCATCAGGCTGATGAGCGCTACAGAGCAATGCAAAGTAACTCAGCGAGACCCAGCACACGCACTGCTGACCCCAGAGCTCTGTGTAGAACCCTGCACTCTGCCCTGCCTGTGTAAATTACTGTCTTTCTTACACTGTGAGCAGCGGGGAAGGGAGAAGAGACCACCGAAATTAGCTTGTACAGGGCTGCAAAATCAGTCTTTAACAGTAAATGTCTGAGGGAGAGAGTTTGGAATATTGGTCCTAGGCCTTCTGGAAGGTGTTCTCACAGGTGGAGAGGATTAGGTTCTTCTGTTCCCATTCCTAAGTCTTTTACTCTGACTTGTAACCTGCTGTGAGCCTTGGACCAACACTCTCACACAATAGCATGCCGAAATGTAAGGGGAACTGACCAGTGAGATGGACAGTCTTCAAAAGCACAAGCCAGACCCCAGTGATCCAGAGCCTGGACTCTGAGAAACAAAACAGCAACTGCCACAGTGGTATATGAGACAGGGAAACTGCCACAGGTGCTACTCTCGCTTGCAAAACTAAGCCCGGAAGTGAAGACGATGGTGAAGATGTGTGGTTAGACCACAGCTTGACGCAAGGGGGAGATGCTCTGCCACAGATGGTCATCTTGCAAGCCCTCGGCTGCAGCAGCTCCCTGGAGTGCTGGCTGCAAATCCCAAATCTGCCACTTCCCTTAGGAATGGGTATTACTTTCCTGGATTGATATAAGAAAAAATAACTCATTTTGACTTCATTTCACTAATTTAATAACATTAAGAAGGACGTTCTTTACACCTGTTCTAGGAGTCTGTTCTTTCCAAACACTAAAACTTATTTTCTTCTTAAATATTATATAAAAATCATGGAGGTTTTGAAACCAAGAGCTATTGAAAAATATTCCCCCTCCATACACCACCTCAAAACAACCATGGTAAAGATCTGCTTTTCTGCAGCCTGCTGGGCAGAACCAGGGGTGTAAGTGAAATCTGTGCTGGCAAAGCCTCCCTGGCTGTATGGTGTCAACAGAAATGGCAAAGGCAAACATGAAGAAAAAGCTTTAAAAAATGGGGGAAAAAAAAGATGTGGAGGAGAGAAAAGTAGGGGGAGACAAAAACCAAACCAAACCAACTCTCCTTCTCTTTGAGCTAGTCAACACTTTGTAGCATGGCCATCTTCACACTGGTGCTGGCTCCTACTCAACTGTAGATGGAAGGAATCACAGATTATCTCTGCAAGAGACTTCCAGCTTCAGTGCACCTCAGAAATGTTACGCAGAGCTGGCCTAATGAGGTAGGCAGGGAATTAAACTTAATGTCCTTGCGAGAGAAGAGGGAGTGGCAAGAATATATGTCCTAGGCTACTCAACAGATAGACAGCAACAAGAGGGAGACTCCTCTACATGATCTTTCTGTTTACAAGCCACAGGACTAGTGACAGAGGACAAGGCAGTTGCCTCATCGATGCAGTCATGCAGTGCAGAGCTGGTTTGCACTGGTAGTAGCTTCCATGTAGGCTGTCACTGTAGAAAGCAGATTGGATTGTCTGGGCATTGAGCGAGTTCTCCCATCAGTTTTCACCACCCACTGCTGCCAGTTTGACTCTTCTCCTTCATGCTTCATGTGCCAAATGTGTCACCAAGCCAGCTGCAATGTCTCCTGGAAGGATGCAAAGAACAATCACAGATGGGGAGAGATGGTAGGGAATAGGGGCAAGGTTGTCCTGCCTTAGTCTAGGCAGAGCATAGGGTTCTCCAAGAAGACTGCCAGCTTGTTGGCCACCACGTCCAGGTCGCTGGTGTTGGTATATTTGAGCAGGTTGGTGTTCTTGACAAAGTAATGCTTGAGGAAGTGCTGGCTTACACACTTGTGCAGCTTCCGTACCAGTCTCAGAAAAGCTTCAGGAAAGCAGCACCAATCCTTGGTGCGTGGGTATTTTTCACACGTCCAGAATAGCACTGTCTGTAAGAAGCAGATGGGAGAGAAGAAGTGTTAGAGGTTCTGTTGAGGGCTCATATAGCTTACTAAGGCAGTGCTGGTAGATGGCTGACAGGCTTTGAAACTGGGAGCCTCGCAGTGCAAGCTTCCTGTGTTAACGAATGTTCCTGCGGTAAAAGGATCACAAATAGCAGCCTGAGGTGAAGCCTTCCCACCCTTCCATGGCTCTCTCCTAGCTCCCTTTGTCTTGAGACCTTGCTAAGGCAGAGAGAAAGCCTCCTCCAGGGATCAAGCAGGGCAACCCTGAGATGTTCCTGCTTTCTTTCCTCAGAGCTACATTGAGCCCAAGGACTCCTGTCTTGCTAAACTAACTTTAGCCTATTTGCCCCAGCAATGGCCTCAGTACAAATGCCAGGTATTTTAAACTGTAGAAAATGGCCAATTATACAGGTGTAGAAGTCAATATGTGCAAGGAGGAAAGAAGAATCAGACTAACGTAATTACTTGTTAGCTTCAATACACTTACACTGAACTCTGTCCCAAGCAGATTGAGATCCCAAGAAACTCCTGCAGTTATAAGGCACGTTTTCTGGCCAAACACAGTCTGTTTTTTTATATATTTATAGCATATTATATTTTCCCTGTCGCTCCAAGTTTATTTCACAGAATTTTATACTTGAGATCATCCATAATTACAATAATGAAATGCACATGAGCATTGCACCTATAGTATTATTCTTACACTGCCCACGCTACATTTTTACACACATTTATATGACTGAGAAGAATCCTCTGGAAGTACTTACACTTACTGCACCAAAACTGCCACAACAACTGTTTTTGTCAACCCGCAAACCAGTTTTAAAAGGATAAATTCATTTGTCGTGGGTGAAAGAATTTCATTAAGTTGCCTTTCTCCCAATTCCATTTTTATTTTGGAAATTTGGTACTCCAAAGAGACTATCAGTCCTTGTGAGAAGTGGTCAAGTCTATAACTATAATTCCATACAAATAACTCCCATGCTTCTAGATTGCCTGTATTTTCCCTCCAGCTAGCCTTGCAGTAGCTGTGGTACTGAGGAATTTCTTCTCAGACAGCTCTTCAAATGTGAAGAAGTTTTGGTTTGTAGCTGCAATAATGACAAAGACTTTAACGTTGCCAGGTAACAAACGACTTAATGAAGAATTCAGGATAAAACTCAGTGAGAGATGTTCCTTTGAGGTTTGCAGACCAGCTACCTTTCCTCAATACTAAAACTATTTCAGCAAACTGCAGGGACAGCAGTTACAATGAAGGTTTTGGAGGTGAAGAAAATAATGTTACTTTTTCAGCCAGGTCACAAACGGATTATCTATCCAGCATTTACCTAACTGCTGTAGTATATGAGAGACATGGAGTTGCTTTTCAAAATCATGTAGGTCTTTCAGACAGTCATATCTTGAACGTTGTTCCTATGGAGGTAAGCACACTGAGTGTGTTTACTCTGTCCTCTGAGACTTTCTAACTACTAGGGGAAGGTTTTATTCTGTAATAGAAGGTCTTTTTTTCAGATGAAGTCTTGTTTCGTCACCATTGTTGGATACTTTAGATGGGAAAAACTTAATAAAGAAGAAAATCTAACACAGCCCGTCCTCAGCTGCTGATTTAACCATGGACTACACCTCCTCATGCTTTCTTTTGTAAGTGATATTGAAATGTTCCTTCCATCTGCTCAATCAGTTGTCTCCATAACCACCATAACCAGCCTAGCCTTTTTTTTTTTTTTTTTTTTCTCTACCTTGATTTAGATTGGTCCCATGGCTACTATAGCATTTGATGGTCTCAAGCTCTAAGTAGCTGCTTGGCATTATACAGGTTTTTGGACACCAAAATATAAGTAATTACTGTAGAAGTCTGGTGGCTTGAGGCTTGAAGGACGGGATAGGGCAGCCTCTTCCTGGCAACTCCAGGAAGATGAAGGCCCTGAAAACAGGGTTGCTTTAGCAACAGACAAATGGTGTTGCTTTTGGTCCATTTGTTTTTGTAGGTGTAATATGGAGGACACAATCTCCTATACATTCCTCATAAACATTGTTTTAGAGTAAAGCCATCTTGAACCCTAAAGTATGCATGAGGAGGATGCTACTGTCCCATAACCTGCTCCTTCACCTCTCATCTTACATAGAACAACACCCGATATGTCAGTTTGCAGTTCATTTATAAAACCACATTCATTTAAGAGAATTTTGCTTGATGCACACTCAGGAAGACAATAAACAAGTTTCCCAGAGATGGATCCATCTGCTGTTGGCTATGCATGGCTAGGAAAGTCAGGGAGAATGGCACCATTCAGTTAAAGACTGTTTCACAACACCTGTGTGAAGTGGAATCAGAGCTGGTTCCTCAGTTTTGACATTACTCACACTCCTGCCACCATAATGTTCCTACAGGCTTCTCACTGAAGTTAGGAATACATCTTTAGTAAAATTCTTACCACAGTAAAGCAAAGAAGTGGCACTGCAGTTTTAGAAGTTACCTTAGAAGTTACATAGGAGAGACTACAGTGTTTTTTGCCATGATATTATGACATTGTTGGATGGCAGTCCTTGAGTCTCTCCCTCCCCATATTCTGGTGATGCCTACCTGAAGGTGATAGGCTGTAATGACAGGTTTATTTCCAGCGCACCAGACATCCTCCTTCATCTGCCTCATGACCCGGAAGCACTTCATGCGACAACCACCATCTTCATCGAGGCCTTGCATGAGCACATGCTCAGCACGGAAGAAGCACAGCTGCCAGTGGTAATTGGAGCGGGCCAGAAGGTCAAAACCAAGTGACTATGGACAAAAGGAGAACACAAATGCAACAGGATGTTATGCGGAGGCTGTGTGAAATCTTTCAAAGTGGAGCACTGTATTCTAAACAGCTTTAGCTGAGGCAGCAAACTTGGGTTATATTTCCATCCTAATTCCTAATTAGATGAACAGTCAATTTATCTTGTTTCCTCATGTTCTGACATCAGTTGCTCCCAGGAGATCCAGCCCTAGAGGCACCAGGTTGCAGCACAAGTAGAACTACTAAAGCAGAGCCATAGAGCAGCACGTCAGGCATGAAAGGACAGTGGGACTCAAAGGAAGAAATAGACCTGCTGAGAACATGGCAAATAGGGCTAAACAGGAGTGCCAGAATCCAGTCACAAGATTTGTAGGAGAGATGAGATTAGGAGGATTAGGAGAGGAAACTGCAAGATAGAGTGTGGCCCATTTGCATGCATCTACATATGACAAACCAGAACAGGAAGAATGATCCAGGTCAGCACTGAGCTACATTATGTGGAAGAGACACAAGATGCAAGAGAGTCAGCTCAGTTTTTCTTCCACAGAATTCACTATTGTTAGGGAAAAGAAAATCCCAGTAAAATGCATCTCAGTACTTTGAAATATTCCTTTTTGAGATAATACATCTCCCAGACATGCTGTGGGGCAGGAAGGAGCACTGGCTTTTATTATTTGGCCTGGGAACAAATGGGTTGATTCAAAAACTCTGCATCAAAGATGACTGGAAACACATGGGTGGCACAAATTACTATCTAGCTCACTTTGGTAGCATTTCTTATGTTTTTTTAACTGATGCACCATTTTCCTGCTTTGACATTTCTAAGGTGTTACTCTGCACTAAGTGAAAGCTATTACACAACTTTTAATTGAAAATAAATATTTTCAATTGAAAGAAATTTTGAAAAAACTTAAATAATTTTCTTAATAAAATAAATGTTAATTGAAATAAAATTTGGGAACCACTGTGAGACACCTGCAAGATAAGTTCCTGCACAGAGTTAATAGTTAACAAGTAAACACTGTTTACCTTGATGCACTGTACTTTTTCCTGGGAAGGCCAACGCTTAAAGCAACGGGGCCACTTGGATTTCTTGGGCCAGCAAGTTGGAATCTCCACAGCAGGGGCCAGCTCTACCTCGACCTGCAATTCTGATGTCTCCACAGCCACCCGAACCACTGAACTGAAGCTCTCCAGCATTGTCACTTTATCTGTGAAGGAACAACAGGTTAAGATAATAAAGGGAAAGAAGCTTTCTACAAGCCAAGCAAGGGGCTGTCTATTGCCCAGGTCGCAGAAGGACCCTGCAGTTTCATCAGTCTATCCAAGCACTCTCCCTTCAACAACATGAGCAGAATGGAAGAAAACAACAGGAATGAGAATAGGAAGAAGATGAAGAACTAAGTTCCTAATTTTATTTTCACTTCCTGTCTAAGAAAATCTGTGATCAGACCAAATGACTTTTAACATCCCAAATGATCAGTGAGGTTATGTGGGGTGTGTATGGGTTTGTTTATGGAGATGCATTTGCACAAAAGCTGGTGACAGAATTCACAGGCACACCTGGCTGATGTTCCTTGTTTGCAGAGCAACCATACAAAGTGGATTAACTGCTTGCCTGACTGGGATTGCTTGAAGATGACAAAAAAAGAGCTAGTTCCATGTTGACTTGGAGAAAAGAGATTTCCACAGTGAAAGATGAAGTGAAAGTTCCAAGAACAACATTCTTTGAGAAGGACAGCAAAAAGGAATGAAGGCAAGGAAAAAGGAATGGATTTGACTGGATGTTTCCTGTTGGCCCAGTTGTGTTAATGGAAGAAGTTTCTGTCCCCAGCTTTCTCAGTCACTCTGGCAGGATTGCTGTCCCTTCAGCTCTGCCATCTGAACTACTTCTGTATTCAGGCTCTAACCCCCTGAATTAAAAGATGGAGCAAATTAGCATAAACAGTAGGTGTGTGTTAACCTGTGTAATTTTGATTGACATAGGCTGGGGAGAAATTCCAGAAGGAGTTCACATAACAGGCTTCAAGGGACAGTGACTAACATTTAGGGTGACAACCTCTTCTGTCTTCACAGAGTAAATGTCTGCCTACTACCAATGGCAGATTTAGCAGCTCCTCCAGAAAACATGACTTTATGTGGGCATTGGAGCGAATTACCTTGCAACAGGAGAGTTCATCCCCACAAGAACTTTGTAATCCTCAGTAGGGATCTCTGGAAGCTAAAAAGCATTGGAGCCACCACTGTGTCAGAATGAAAATACAATCACAGAACTTCGCTTCCAATTTTTCTACAAAATGGTAAAGTGAGACACTGAAAAGAATCTGGCTTTGCTGGTGCTCAAAGACATCAGGAAAAACTATATATAACTTCAGCTTTGCTGTTGGATAAAGGAAATTCACTCTTCATAAATAATAATAATAATAAACCAGTAATTACTCCTCCTGACTTCATCTCAGCTCATCTCTACTATATGTCTATCTTCTCCCAGCTGGCCTTAGCAGAAGAAGCTTCAGAGCCACCAGACATCACTCCTTGAGTCCCTTAGAAGTGCCTATTCTGACTCAACAGCTTGATGAACTGCTGACAATGGCAGGTTTTCGCCTCAGTATGACGACTTCCACATAACTAAAGCTTCAGATGTAAGCTCATTCCATCTGATCTTTTCTGTGCATTTCAGTGGTGAAATATCATTCACGTCATAATCTCCTCTCCTGTGATCACTAATAATTCCTAGAAGAATAAAATGATGAGCTTGACTTAAATGCATCTTTCCTCCTGTGAGTAAAATTCAGAATGTGATCAGAAGAGAAGCAGTGGGTCCTATCTCTCTGGAATGTAGGAAGTCTCATTATCATGCTGCTGCCATGTACAGTCATCCTGGAAACATCCCATCAGAAGAGGCATTAAAGTTTGGATTTGACCATACCATAGTATCTTAACATGAAACAATGGGCATAAATTATCTACCATGGACCAAATCTCATTAGCTGAACTCCATAACATGCCTCTAGTATGCTAATAACTATGAGGATCATTGTTCAGGCAGTATCTTGCTGCAGATGTCACAGCTATGAAGCAATGCTACATGAAGCGCTAATTGCAGTGTGTCAACGACAGGCACTTCCAGCATGAATAGAGACAGGAAACAAACTGATACAGTGGAATTTCTTGCAGAGGGATCAGCATCACTATTGAAAGTAAACTTTCATGACATTTGCTGGATAATGCTACAGCAACTCAGGCACTGGAGGAAAAACAGTGCTTTCCCAACAGGCTTTGCTATGGACAGCTCAGGATTCCCTTATCTTCCCTATATTCCCACTTTTCCCTCTTCCTTCCCACTCACACACCTTCCCCATGTCAAAATTTCTTATACTATTTTTCTGGCAAGTCTAGACATATTGTGACTGCTATAGGAGGAAAAAAAAATCTATTTGTATTTTAATAGGACTGTGAAATCAATGTTTCTGGAGAACTTCCTCAAATTCTTAAGATATTAGCAAACTCTCGAGTATGCAAAACCTGACCACTACTCAATTCTATATTCAATGCAGGTATGCATTCACATCACTGCAATGGCGTAACGGCTCCTTGATTTTGGAGGGGTTTGGGTTGTTTTGATTTCTGATTGTATGAACTTGCCCACCAGCCACTTTGTGCGTGTGGTGGCTTCTGCTCCATCAGTTGCATAAAACAGGCAGTTCCCCTTATACCTGTCCCCGCTAAACTCACCAGAAAGGTTACAGGAGACAATTGACTTCTCCACCAGCTCCCGGAAGATGATAAGGACTTTGGCTGGAACCAGATCTCCTTCGATGTTCACGTCAGTCTCATGCCATTGTGGAAGGCTTTTTGCGAACTGCTCCACCTCTAGCCATTGCTCCAATTCCTCAGGGTCTCGCACAGAGGAGTGGAGCTTGGCTCCTTGCACGGTGTAATAACGCCAGTGCCGTATCTGGTGTTCTCTGTACCCAAACAGGCCACGCAAAGGAACGGTGATGACGAATTGGCTGGGTGCTAAGACCTAGGAGAGTTCAGAGAGATTGAAAGAGGAAGCAAGGGCAAATCCATGAACCCTAAGCAGGGAGGGGGGCATTAAAGCAGCAACAGGTTGATTGTGGAAGGCTTTGGAGAGACGGAAAAGCCAGGTATCATGGGAACAATTGAATACAGATAGGACCTACTCCATGCAGTGAGTAGGACCTACTCGTTGCCTTTCTGATGGCTACTTTGGAAATACAAAGAATAACAGAAAATTGTCCTAGGAGGATTATGATGTTACAGCCATGGTGCATATGAGACAAAGGCAGAGTCAGATGATTCACCGCCACTGCTGCCATAGTTCCCCCTCATTCCTTGTTACTTCTAGTGTGCAATTGCATAAGAGGTAATAACTAGCAAATTCCAAGAACCACAAGAGCCTCGGAGAACGTGCTTTGAGATTCAGCAATGGGAGACAAAATAGAGCCAGTTATTACATCAGAATTGTTACTAGAGATAAGTCTTGAGTTTGTTACTAGTAACAACTTTAGAAAACAGTACACTTTTCTATTCTCTTTCAAAATTCATTAAAGATATTTGCAAAGTAATACTTTGGGCCATTAGTAAGTGTTTCACTCTGCATCACTGGAAATATTGTCTGAAATATTGTCCTTATATATATTTAAGAGATATAAGGTACATTCAAGGTAAGTGATGTTCCTACGTCTGCATAGACAGCAGTGGCACAGTCAGATATAAACGCAGGTCTTGGCCAGCAGTGCTGTATGAAGCTGTTTCTTCTGTAGAGTGGGAGCCCAAAACACTGTAAAGATGGAAACAGTAAACAGTGGATAACAAAACCACGAGTAGGCTTGTCTGCAATCAACATTGGCTTCTTTTTGAGAATAACCATTCTCCAGTAAAAACAGGGGACACACAAACGTTCTAAAGCCTCGTATGGGTTTAGAACATCACTAGACATCTCCAAATGTATTGCAGTCTTCAGCAATCTTAGCTCCAAGTGCTCAGATATGGTGCTTAAACTCATTCAGACTTTTATCATGTTGATTCAGAAGCTTTTCAACTTCACTTCTTACCAAGCCTAGCTTACACAGGCATTAATAAGGTGAAGCTGTTCCATAAACAGGATGTGAACAGCAGTTGCTATAAGGTGGTTACCTCAAAGTAAATTAAAAACTCTTGTCATTCACCAGCAAAAATCCAATACATTATTGCGGTCTTCCTGGTAACTCTGCTAATTTAAAACATTATTGTAGAGGTGCCAAGGCCTTGAGGGTACTAACAGACCAATGTTTATGGCAAAGAAAAAAGTCAGTTCTTTTCCATATCAAGATTTTGACTTATATTCACTTACACATGTTGCAACAGTCCAATTAGAAACCAGATTTGCATGGGTGGCCATCCCAGCTGAAGGTGCAAGGAGAAAGGCCCCAGGGCACAACATGAATTTGGACATGACCCAGATAAGCATAAGTCCTGCTTGACCAAGCCGAAACATTGCTTTGAGAGGCTGCGTTTGTACCAAATACAGCTAAAAGGAAGAAAAAGACCAAACCACATCCCTATCAAGTGACAGTGAACAACAAAATAATACTGTTGTAGAAAAATGGTTTGTAGTGGCCGCGCAACAGATTTTAAAGGGAAGATGTGCAGCTGCTATACGAGTACAGTTCAAAATAACATGAGGTTTAAAAATAAATAGAAAATATTTGGGGCACTTTGCTGTTTACACACAATTTTCATTGAGCTAATAATATTCATTCAAATCTTCACTTCAAAAAAATCCAACCAAATAAAACCTTTTTCTCCATTGCTCTAGCCAATAGAAAAAACACCAAATTCTTTCAATGTTATTTTTAAAAACTTTTGCTCAGGATCACAAGGCTTCCTGTTTACAAGGAAACACAAGAAATCACAACTTCGGTGATAGAGCTGTAAAGCTGGTTTACTGTGGAGCAGGTGGTGTCCTGAGCTAAACAAATCCCTGTCCCACACTTGTGCTCTTTTACAGAACAGTGTTACGAACCCCGTAGAGGCCACAAGTCCCAACAAGTCACAGAGTATTGAACAGAGCCAGCGGTAGCAAACAAGAGTCTCGAATTCTGGGATATGCAACTTATGGCTAATTCTGTTGTATTAAAAACTCGCCTGCAGTAACTTGGGCAAATTAAATGCAGGGTGGTTTTTGTGACAAGGCTGACGAGGCTATCCCGGAGAGGTGGAAGCACTAGGTTAGAAACAAAACATGTATGCTTTGAGCAAATAGGGAAGTCTTGAGGAGAGGCTGAATGGTCATTGGAGGTTAAGTTGGGTGGGTGAATCTGTTTGGAAAGGAGGGTGGATGAGGAGGGAACAGACATACTAATCAGCAGGAGCCAGGTGGCATGAAGAATTTGTACCTGGATGGAGGAGTGGAATGGGCGCTTCCCCTGAAGCACAGCTGACCACTTGGCCAGTAAAGCTGGCTGATCCTGAGAGAAGCAAATGGGAAAACAAGAGACACACAGAAGAGAGAGAAAGCATATGCTAGGTAACTACTGTGGATGATTAACCTGCTTACTATGCCTTACTGAAGCCCCTACAGCTTCTGCCTCAGTTCTGCATGAACCACTGCTGCAAAAATGCTGGTTGGAGCACAGCTTCCTGAGTGATGCCACTGGGACTGGGGTTTTTAAGCCATCTCAGAGTTTGTCGCCCTGCAACTCCCCGTTCAGTGAAGACCATAATAGATCTCCCATGTGTGCCATCAAATACTCACAAGGAAGGTGTGAGCAATGGTTTTGGTTAGTTCTGGGGGGCAGGATTGGTTTAATCTGTCAGCATTTATAAATTAAAAACAGTACTATTCTCATTTCATTTCTCCTTACATGTATCATAAGAATAGAAGCTAGTTGTAGAGGCACTGCAAGCAAAAATGCAAATACTAATACTTCTGAGAGTATTAGTGGGATAGCACAGATGCAAGGTTAGTTTCTTCCAGACTACGCTATAGATGTCATGTTCCTTTTTTTGTACACAGCAGAAGCACTAGGCATTGAGGGCAGCAATAATACATCTCCGGTTATGGTAGAGGAGCATACACCATTTTCTTTGGTAGTATCCCTTAATACACTTGAATTGAATGATTCCTTACTGAAGCTGGAATAGTCTTCCATCAAAAAGTAAACACCTACATGGAAAGGAATTGGATGAGTTTCTCACTGAGAAGGGCCACAGTATTTGAGTAAGTTAATACACAATAAATACTTTCGACATATTTAACACTTTAAAAAGTCATAAATGCATTCACTAAAGATTTTGGCTTTCATTTTGACTCCCAGAATTGCAGAAAAACTCTGAATACTTAAAGATTTTTTCTCTAATTCTCCTTCTGGCCCTGTGTATTTAAAAGGAGGCTTGTAGCTTTGCAACAGATCTAGACCCTCAGCTTGCTGGATTAAATCCTCTTAACCAAAAGGTGGAAACTGAAAAGTCAGTGTAAGTGTTTATTCTGTTTTGTTTTCCAACAAAGATTCCAAGTAATCTTACATTGACCCTTATCTTGTCAGATCTCTTAAGACAAGCATGATCAATCCAATTTAAACAGTGGATGCAGAGCACAGCTCTAAGGACTGTACATGGATCAGGATGTGGCACCATTCTGTGTCAGTGTAGGCACTCCTACTGGTAAGGTTCATGCTGTAGCATTCATGGTATTCCAGAATACCATCTGAATCTGAATAAATTAACCTATTTGAAATAAATTAAGCTATATTTGAGCTATTCAGTAAATCTGAATAGCTCAAAGCAATGACCACATTCCAGATTGGATGATCACATTCTGCACCCACCTCAATATCCCTCCGGCACTTTGATGCACACAGAATTCTTTCCTTTCAGATCAAGACTTGCAAAAGTCACCCTGTGTGTTACAGGCTTGCTGTGTCTTGCTCCCCAACTGCTTGCATTTCAGTACAGAGACTGGCATAGCTAGAGTAGGTAAGCTACTTCAGGTGAAAAACATCATTTTCATCAATGCTACAATTTGTTCTTACATTGTTATACTAGTCACTCCTATCTTAGTAGTCACATGAAATAACTAGGCTTCCTCTTGTCACAATAGGACAGGGCATTATTATTTTGGATCCGATTGTTTAAAATGAGGAAATGTTTCACTTTTCCCACTAGCAACCATATTCCTTCACAAGGGAAAAAAAAAAAGGAAAATTTTGAGTCCATTATCAGGAAAACATACAAAATACTTTTTTTTTTTTTCCCTGAAGGAGCTTTCTAATAATTTTAGTGGCAAAGATTTTTTTTCTTTTTAGTTTTAGTAAGCTGATGGATTTTCCACCTGTTACGAGTTATAGCTCATAAAAGCATAAGATGTTTTTTCGCCTTCTACTATTGCTATATATTTTTTTCTGCCTCTCCCAAAGGCTTCAACTTCTGCCTGCACACAGACAGCTCTCGCTACAGAAACTCTTTGTAAAAGAAGCAGTTGTAAAAAGATGCTCTGCCTGATTTACCCTGCCCTCTCTGATGCTCCTCAAGTTGTAAGATGTCCATGGGTAAGCCTCTATGACCCAGTCACCCACTGGACCTTCCACAATAAAGTGTCAACTTATTATCGGTGCTGTCTTGAATGATAGATGTACCTGTTCATTACAATTAGACAGTGAAAAAACACATACTCTGCCTGCAAGCTAAGTTTACCAAAGCTCTTGTTCATACCTTAATATTCTCATTATGAATGCCAGAGTTGTAGATAGCCTGGAATCGTGAGGCCTTACGGCTGATTTCTTTGGTCAGTTGCTGGATGATTTTCTGCACCTCCTCCACTGCTTTGGAAACCAGATAATGCCGTGGCAGGACCTGTCAGTTCCAAGCAAGACACTTCACATTACAGATAACTGTAGTCTTTATCTCCAACTGGAAACAGTCACTCAACCTACAGCATACTGTAATATTTGTGCCTAACAACCCTGCACTGAGAATAAAAAAGTGTTGTTCCCTACCAACTTCCAACTTACCATGAGACAGAGCTGCTCTTGGTGAACACAGAGGGGCCTGTACTCAGAAATGCCAGGTACTAATTGATATGCCTATGTCGATACCATTGGATGGAGGAAGGAGTTTTTTACATGGATATTTTTGGCAACAAGCAGCTATACTCTCATTCTTGAGCAATTTTGGACAGATTGTCCTACTATTCCCCTGCATATACTACTCACTCACAGCCCCAGATATGTTACTTTCTAAGAGCTGTCAGGATGTCAAAGTTTACAGATATTCCGTGCGTTAGATCACAGATATATGTGGCAGCATCTAGATGCCTACATAATGTGTCAAAAGTACCCATCTTCTCTAGTCCTCATATCTGAAGCACAGGTGAGAGGCTGTTCCTCAGTGATGAGAAGCTGGTCCCACTGGGGACAAGGTGGTTGCGTTACTTGCTGGATACATCTTCAATTCGAGCAGCAGCAATATAATTGCTTATTAAAAATAATTAAATGGAAAATCTTAGTGAAGGATTGAGGCGAATGATGGACACCTCCAAAAAACAAATATGAACCTGAACCTTCACATACCTGAACCTTCAGGAAATGAATGGAGCCTAAGGGAAGGGTTACAATCCAAACAGGAACATTCCATAGAAGGAACATGGAGGAACCATGTTAGCAAAGCACATGTACATATTAGCCAAATGATCCTTACACATTTACCAAAATGCAGACAAGATTCAGCTACTCTTAAATAAGTTCCTTAATATGTTTCTCAATATTTATTACTTGAGAACTACCCATGCAGGGTGATGTATGAAGATGGCTTGTTGTCCTTTTATGCATCCTGATGCTTTATCATTTATTTGCAATTCTTGCTTTCATTTGTGCTTGGTTTTTCCTCATCATATCTCATTGTTTGAAGTGCACAATAAGAGCAAAAGAAATGCAGAAGATCTGAGATTTGCGATCAAAAAAAAAAGAAAATCCACTCAAACCCCAACTAAACCCCCAAGCGGGCAATTTGCAAGGGCATCACATCATTGGCAGCTTGGTTAAGTCAATGTTCAAAACATTGCTAAACACAATCGCTACAGTCTTTTGTAATTACCAAAGAACAGAGGAAAACTCCTGTGTCCTTTCTACTTAGCCCTATCTTCAGCACCTAACAACATTTTTCTCCCACTTAGGAAATTTTGGACATCTATGCCAAATGGTGAACCGTCACAAAAAAACACTCAAATGCATGTAGACTTATTCTCATGCCCTGCGAGATGACAAATAGCTGCACGTTTTTGCATAACAATGGACCATACTACAACCACTAAAAAGACTAGTGCTTGCATAAGATCAATTAACTAAGTAAGAGTGATTGACTGACACTGGGCTTGAAAATGAGTAAAGTTGGATTAAGCTTTTTTTCTCCCCAGCTAATAAAGGCACCAACATTTTAAACAAGCCTGAATAGTACTTGCAAATGGGAAATACATCAGAACAGCATCAAATTCCCTTCACTGAGGTCATCTGCCCTTGACACCCTGATTCTTTGCTATGTTATCTATATATAGCTTCTTATGTTTTTAGTGTTATTTAACATCCCTATCAATTGTCCATCCTCATTTCACCATTTCAATTCAGTCTCATCCTTTGAGACCAGTTTTAGATAGCTTGCAATGGCTCTCTCTTCTTTCTAAGAAAAGTTATTCTATTTTTTTTTAGCTCAGGTTTGTTCTTGTATCTTTGTTTCAGATTTCATTTATGGCACTTCTCCATCTCCAGCAATAGCTATTTCCTCTGTAATTTTTACATTTGTCCAGAAGCTGACTTGTTCAAAAAATCTGCAAATAGTTCCTCCAACAAGTAAATGATATGAGGGTCAAAGACAGAGTGGGCCACCTCTAATAGCATACTGACAAAAAAAAAAAAAAAAAAAAAAAAAACAGACTTCCTGCATACAACTACTATAGGTCACCTCAACCTGAGGTAGAGGAATGCCCCTGTATTCCTTACACAAGATTTTTTTCAAGTGGAATCTGCCAGAAACACTTTATACTACCTCCGCTTCCCTAGGAGAATCCATTCAACTCAACCTGTCTTAATTTAATTTTGCCTTCATCACCTCCTGGCTAGACTACAGGAGTTGACACAAACTCTTTTTAAGAGCATGGACTCTCAAAAAACTTCTTATAGGATGCATCTCAATAAAACTTCTGCACCTGCTGCAGGTGCTCCTCAGGACATAAAAGAACAAATGACACATGACAGATGTTGGTCATGCCACCTAATCTACTAGTCTAAAATATATCCTTCCCACAGAAGAGAAGGCACACAAATCTGAAGGGGACAGAGTAAAGCCAAGGCATTTATCTAGAATTTCTTTAGCATCAACATGGAAACGTTGGGAGAAGAGGTAGAATAATCCATTAATGCCACCTATTGTAATTCCCATTCCCAGACTTTAACTTTGGAAGTCATGACAAAACAAAGCAACAACAGCAGAAAAACAATATTGATTAGCACTTTGTTCTAAATGAGGAAAAGAGGAACAAACTTGACTAGGGATTCTAATGAACATTTGGGTTTGTTCCTATCGACTCCACTCAATAAGTATTTAGGTTTTCCGCTGCTGGTTTAAGGCAGAAATCTCTGGTATTGGAGAGATTTGTTGCACCTAGTAGTTGACCCAATTTGAAAAAATGGGCAAAATTTTACAGGCAGAGCTGAGTTGACTGAAATTTGAAGGAGACTCAGGAGCAGGCAGAAACTAAGGATCCATCAGAGCCACAGAGGTGCTGGAAAAGATACTCTTAGGATGGGGTACTTTTGGTAGAACCTAAAATAATGGCACCAGTGAGCCTCACTTAACTACACTCTGTCCATGTTCCCTGTAATTATGGCAGTCCTATGAGCATCTACGCGTGTGTGGCTTCCCTCTGATCTCTCCTTTGTAGTCTTGCGTTAGAAATATCAGAGAAGAGTTCACTGTTGTAGCTGGCTGAAAATTGAAGTTCTTACAGAAACAGACCGACTTATAACCAAAAAATTTCCATAGACAAACCAAAGTTTGCTCTCAGTGCTTTCATGGTACATGGCACTTGTATCCTTTTCAGAAAATAAAGCCCTACAGATTTTCATACTGACCTGTTTTTCACTGTTTTGCATTTTATAGGGAAAAACAGACTATCAAATAGAAACTAGCCAAGCACTGTGATGAAGCATATCAACTTTAATAAAATATTACAACTAAGTTAGAATAAATTTTATTCAAAAGTAAAACTACACTGAAGATTTTTATTGTGTTTTGTTTAATTTCACTGTGGAAAAAAATACATTAGATTGCCAGAATATTTCATAAAACAGAAGATGGGCTTCCTACTTGCCTTCGCTAATGAAACTTATGCTATTATGCTGCTGGTATGCAGAGAAGTATCTCTAGCTGAAGTGACAGATTGGTGGGAGAATTCTAACTATGTCCATCTCAGTTGAGTTTCTAAGTCTTTCTGAGGCACAATTCCTATTGTTGTGCTTTTGGTCTTGTTTTTATCAAGCCAAGACCATTGGACAGGGAAGAGAGCAAAGATCTTTCCTTAGATTAAACATTTACAATTACAGCTAGCTTCATACAAGGAATTCCAAGGTGGGGAGCAAAAATTTGAGAGGTAAAGAAAAAAAGACAATTGCCCCAAGAAATTAAACTTTCAGCTAAGATCCCTGACAACATTCTGTATTGGAGATCTAGAAATCTCACTAGAAATAGTTCTCATGAGATTTCATCCCGTCTCATCTTGTAGAGGAAGGCAGCAGGCAAGCAACTAACTTGGCACCCTTCAGAATCAATACCTAGTGTGGAAAAGGGGAAATCTGGACAGATAAATCTTACCTTATTGTGGATGTATATTTCTGCATCCTCATCTGTGATTGGTTTCATGGCAAGATTGTCTTCACTGTTCTCTAAAGTGTGAATTCACTCCGCACTCATTCGTCTGGCTCTGGAAGCAGAGGGACATTCGGAGATTGCTCCTGGTCCTGTGAAGCTCAGGTCACTTAATTCCTCTGTGAATGAAGAAGAGGAGAGAGAAGAAAGGAAGCAAGAAGAAGCAATGCCCGTTTTCTTCTGGTTTGAGTTACAGTGGTGAATTCCAGCTGCCTAGGAAAACTAGATCCGAATATTATTTGTTAAGCTCAATCATTACTATTTGTATTATCACTACTTTTAAATGCTGGGACTTGCAGGAACTCACAAAAACATCCCAGTTACTGCTTTGTCTCTGGGCAGCTCTAGAAGTATGGTTCAGAGTCACTATGCTCGAGCACAGCATTATTATTTTGTGCACCACAAGTACTTCCCTGGTCTCTCTAGCCTTTCTCTAAACCATGTTAAGCACTTGGCTGTCCCTTGTTGACTTCAATCCACCCACTTTCCTTCTGAAACTGTATGGGTATTTTTACACTCAGATCACTCATTTGGGTTGTAGTCTGCAGTCTCTGCTCCTGTCTCCTTATAGCTCCTCTCTCTCTCCGGCTGTATTGACAGTAAATATCTTGCAGCCTGTCCCCTCCTGTAGCTTGCTTAGCTCCCTTTACAGTAAACAGACAGAAAACTGTCGCTAGTTAGCTGCCAGCAGCTCAGCTAACAACCCCACGTGGATCATTCAGAGGGAAAAACAATTGATCAGGACTCATTGATCCAGTGAGGGTTGGCGGATTTCAGAAGAAAGGGTACATCAGCACATGGAAGGGAGTGACAGAGGATAGAGATGATATTCCATGCTGTAAAGCAGCCCTTGTTAGGGAAGGCAAATGCCACTTTTTAGAAAAATCAGTATCCCCCACCCCCCACTCCCCTGGAAATTGAACTCTCTGAGATGCCTTGACTGATTTATTAACTCTCCAGCAACCGATAAAAACCAGCACTGTGGGTGCTACGTCAGAACAGGCCCTTTGTTGCTGGTTATTTTGTATGACATGTGGTCGTTAACAGTGAGATGCTAACTACATCAATTGCATCTGATCAGACATCTGATGCCCCAGAATCCACAAACCAAACTTTTCTCCATGGCTCCCAGGGTATCCTCTATTTTCTTTTTGCTGAGAGACTTAGTGATAGTTCACAAAGACTTGTTGGCATTTGCTTCCAACCAGCTTCCAGTGGGATTGGACATTGAAAAAGATTAGGCCCCAATTTTCAGCGTTCCCTACCCCATCCTTGTTCACTTCATAACTTACCTTCTACCGTATCTTTCACCTGAGCATTTAGAAGCATATGTGATCTTTGCTGAGGAAGCCAGGCTAATGGCAGGATCTGAAAGAGCATGGAAGAGTAGATTAGGAAGGATTTTTACTACCAGATTGGATGGGTTTAAGCCCAAACACTGTGTGCAAAGGAGGAGAAAGTCGTTTCATTGGTCTAGCTCAGTTAGAAGTGTGCCCTTATTGCATTAACTCTGGGTACATACAGAAGACAATTTCCTTTGTTTCTGACACTATTTGTTCCTTTCAAACAAAGAACCTCAGATGCGTGTTAGGAAGCAGAGAGAGATTAATATCCTCGCTTTCTTGTACCTGTAAGATCTCTCCTCTGACAGCTGTCCAGAGCCACAGGTGCTGGCAGATGCATGAAGAACACAGTTCTGGTCATTTTTCTCGTACACAATAACACACTTCATATCATAAGACACCCTTTTCTATTGGGAAACAACTCCAGGAAGGTCTGCATGGCCCCAACTTCCCCTCCCATAGTGAAGGGGGGTGTAATTAGGTCTTGGACAAGGCTTTTCTTTTATTTCTAAGCATATTTAAACTTGAGTCCTAATTTAGGTTTAAGTACAAGGTCCTGATCGACAGTCCTTTCCTGGTCCTGCCACCTGATGAGAGTAAACAACTTTCCCTCAGCATCGTTGAAAAGAGAGGGCAGGGGGTGAAAGACAAAAAAAAAAATGGAAATAAGAAAACAAGTATCAAAAATAGTACCAATATCAGGTTTTCTCAACCCTGGGCACTCCTTGCACCAGCCATAAGGAACTGCTCATTCATAATTTGTTCAGACCTAAGAAGGGGAAGCAAGAAGAGTACAAGAATTAGCTACAGGGGATTGCAGAGGATGACAGCTGAACAAGCCGCTCCGAGTCCCTGTGGATTGGATTATGCTACTCCTGGGATCAAAAGAATACTGTTTGGCAGACAGGAAATACCACATCCAGCAAAGGCCCTTACACCAATAGCAAAATACTGTACAAATTAGAAGGGCAATAGCCCTTACTGCAAAAGTAAAAGCAGTGTGGTGTAATGGGAGACAGCAACCCATCTTGACTTCACTGGAACAAATCCATCACAAGTTTTTTTTTTTTTTTTTTTCCCATTAACCACCAAAACTACAAAAACAAACACATGCTCCAGACCGGTTCTCCTCTGAGAACTTCACTCCTGACAGGTTTCTCAGTTACTTACTGGTATTCTTCCAAGGGGATTTGGGCATTTCTTATCATCTCCAATTTTATGAAATCTGTGACATTTCATCTTCATTCACATCTTGGCAATACCCAGAACTGAATATGACTGCAGAGCTGGGAAGCCCGCAGAAAAATATTCTCTAAATATTGAGCAGTATGAGATTTACTTTATATCTTCTGAAACTGCCAGTGACTGATTTTTCTATGCTTGCCTTATTTTCCTCTTTTCACTATTTAGTTTTACAGATATGACAAATATGCTTCAAATCTAAAACCAAAAATTATCTGATCTCTGAACTGCACAACAAAAAGTCATCAACATCACACAAATAAGCGCAGAAATACTAGCTATATTGGGAGGTCCAATATTGTGGTATTTTCTGTTTGATAACCATCTAGAGAAAACACTCATATGGAACAGTAAGCATATATCAAAATACCTCCCTTATGTTATACAAATGAACCAGTCCAAGGTACCACTTGTGACTTGCAGAGGATCTGTGGGGTAACAAATAAGCCCAGTTGAAGATGCTGCCTTCCAGATGAAATATAACGCTCAATTTGCAGTTGTTAATGACGACCCACCACATTTTGCTCTAATTATCAAAAGCCTTAAGTCTAAGGCTATTAAGGCACTGGCTGAAGCTGTAGTTGGCTCATGAGAGACTAGCAAAACAAATCATCCCAGTAGATTTAATAAATCCTGACAGTTCTCTTGCTTTCTTCAACTATTTCCCCATTTCCCCCATTAGTGGATTAAGTGACTGTACAAAATAAGTATAGTTTGGATCATCTATTACATTTATGCTCTAATGAGTTTTGGCAGTTGTGCTTCAATACTGTTCAGAGTCACAATTCAGAGGACACTAGCATAACATAATCAAGGCTTTTGGGGCCACAAGTTCCGTGAATTTGTTTTTTTCACTTTGTCTTTTAACAAATAGATATGGCAAAGGGGATGTTTCAATGACAAAAGCCTGGGATGGACTAGAGGGAAATGAAAGTGCTGCTAATTCACTGTGACAGATGAGACTCATGCATGGATGCCAAATTGAAATGTTCTACTCATTCCTGAACCTTGCTGATCAATACTTGGCAGGCTCAAAGCCTCTCTAAATGCCTGTGCTGCTTGTTCTCACTGCCAAACATTCTCACACTAGCCTTGGGCCTGCACTTCACATCAAGTAAATAAAAGGTTTATAACCTTTCCAAACTAAGCAAAGCACTTACTGGATTGGATCAGGTCCAGTGGTTTATCAAGCCTGATATCTTTGTTTCTTCCATTCATTGGCCAGACTAGACATGTCAGAGAAAAGAAACTAGCTGCTTCTGGAAAAGGTGTTACCTCAACCTGTGGAGAGTTTTGAAATTCCCACCAAAATACTTTACAATCTGAATCCTTTCAGGCTGTAATTTGGCATTTCCATTGCTCCAGGATCACTAGCTGAGGACATAGGAAATTCTGAAAACTAACTGAGAATATGATGCTGTTGCTCACCACTGACCAGCCTCCAGCCTCAGCTGGCAACTTCACAAGAATCCAGTCAGTTTTGCAGCTGCTGTTAAGAAGCCGGCCACAAGGCAGCAAACATAAAACATTTACCTCCTCACAGGTATACATAAAACATAGTAGCTTCTAATTTTGATTGCTGAGATCTTTAGCAACCAGAGTGGTGAGTGATTCAAGAAGCCTAGAAATTTCCAGGTCTATAATGGTCAACACCACGGGTGGCAGGGGTGACCTGGGAGTCCTGACAGCATCAGCAAATAAGGCTCCCATGTCAGATGCCTGACACAATGAGCAGGAAAAATGATGTTTTAAACTCTAAATCCATTTGTAGCTCTCTGGAAGTTTACTGAAACAGGGCAAGTTTGATGTATCAGCAAGATTTAAAGAAAACATTTCATCAGACTGTTTCCAAACACCTGCAAAGGACATTTTCTGCATTGCTACTTCTTCTCTAAACTACACACTCATCAAGCACATATACGAGAAAGACAGGGCCACAGCATTTGCAAGGGCTGGTATTTTATTGGTGGCTGTCCTCCCAAGCACAGAGAATACAGAACTGTGTATTATTACACTTGTTGTTGTGTCCACGTTTACCTGATTCAGAACTGACTGCTCAAATCTACATTAGTTAAGTAAACTGAGTAAGTTACCGATAGCAAATGAGAGTAGCAACTCCAGCACATACTCACTTGACTCCTTGCTTCTGTGTTTATCCAGCGACTGATTACTTAAAAACACAAAAATGTTTACTGGAACAAGAACTAGAAATCAGCTATCATATCTCACTTCTAAATGACATCTAGATGGCCATGAGATCTCTTGCTTCCAAAACCTGAAAAATATTAGAATGAGATGCCTTGGTTAGCACCAAGCAAGACGCCGAAGCGGTACCTGAACAGTTCAGGAGTAGGGCATATAAACCCCATGTTCAAATTCAAGGGGAGGAAAAGAAACAAACAGCACTGGTTGTACAATTGCTTTGGGCAGGAAGTGGTTGGTTTTTTTTTTTTTTCTTTTTCTTTTTTTTTTTTTCTGTGAGAAGCCA